GGTATTTCTTCCAACTACAAATGGGAACAGTGATATTTGTCTTACTCATAAATGTACTTTGACACCAGTGGATTAAAAAGTGCACAAGAAGAAGTAGATACTGTTAAGCCCCATAATCCAGGTCAAATATCTATTCACGGTAATTTCCAACAGTCCCCAAAATAATGTCCTCAAAATAATCTACAATTTATAAGAACCTAATGATGTCACCTCTCCTGAGAAGGAAACACTCAGGTGCAGGAACTCGGGCAGAAGTCCAATTACATTTTCCTAATACAAATGCTATAAAATGTACAGACTTTTCCATTTTTCATGAAACCATTAGATGTGGTTTCATGAAGATTATTAAAGACACTTCTTTAAAAAATTGGCTTCAGCTCATGGGGCTCTCGCTATACCATGCAGACTTATCTTTACAACACTACACTTGTCTTTAGTGTAAATGCAGAGCATCTCCCAGCTCCTTCTCTGAAAATTTCTCTGCCATTTTTCACTGCTCCCCACCAAAAGATGTGGCACCGAAAACAAATAAGTTCAATAAAACTCAGAAAACAATTGTCACGCTATACCTCAAAGCCAGGGAGCGCCGACCTCCAAACCCACTGCGCGACCTCCAAGTTTGGTTGTTAGCAGCTCTAGCTGCAACCCAAAAGCCACTAACGTAATGCAGATGGTATTTGCCGATGACCCGGGTATGTTCACATTCAGTAGTATGTGCATACAGGTTTTATGATGCAGAAGAGTACACAGTCAGTTTGAATCCAGATTCCCCAGATAGAGTGAAAGATTTCCTTCACAGGAGGTTTTCTATAAGCTCAAACAGCATTTTTCTTTTTCAAACTATTTGGATGGGAGATAAGTCTCTCTAGACCTGCCAAGAAGTAGCAGCATTTCTAAAGCTAGCCAGGTAAGGTCAAAAACCTGAAACCATGGCATTAAAACAGAGTTAAACAATAAATTACAAAACCCTCTAGAGCACAAGGAGGAAAGGGAAGCGATCTTGGCTCTCAATGTAGCCCTACGAAAGAAGCCACCAAACAAGCAATGCTTTCCCTCTAATTCAGGCTCCTTTCTGCAGAGGTATTAGCTGGGATATAGGTCCTACATAGGAAATTAATTCCTATGAAAAGACTCTGTAAGCAGCAGCACCCTGTTCCCTTTTCAGCTGTATGACAGCGTGTACTTTTTGGATCCAACCAAAAGTACAGGCAGAGCAAAAAATTAAACACTCACATACACAGATAACGACAGCAACTGTTTCCTTGACCTTTAAACTTTAAGGAAAACCTCATTCTTTCCTCTACATCTTTACATAGGAATTTCTAACTGAACAGCACAGGTCCGTTTGGGAGCCGACAGTGCAGGGTATCCCTGTGGAGGTGATTTTTCAGTGCTGTGTGTTAGCCAAACTCTCTGTGGCATGCAGCAGTGCCCCAGAGAAAGTGCTGGAGAGTAACTGGTCTCCCACAATTTTCTATTAATTACTTTTGCCCTCTACCTTTATTGATTAAATTTGCTGTCTCACAACATACTGCAGGAGTTCTATCTTAAAAAACCCCAAACAAACAAAAAACCCAGAAAACTAAATGTTTATTAGAAATATTCCACAGCCAAACAAGAATCTCATCCTGTTTCACAACAGAGATTTCTAACCCAAAACTAAGATTGTAACTACATTTTCACTGTCTCATTGGAAAGTCAGTAGAGCCACAAAACATTAGCCACATCTTTGTATTTTCTAGATCTGGAACTGAACCTGGATTATCTATACTCTTTCTGTTCTTTTTCACACAACTTTTAACCACTAAAAAAAAAAAAAAATATCCAGAACAATGATGATTTATTCATCCTCAACCATCCAGATTTCCTGTTCCACCTCCAAAGGTCTGATATTTAAACTCAAATTTCTACATTTTTAGATAGAGGACTGCTTCTTCCAGTCATTCTGATAAGCCAGGGACTAGGTCAGACAAACCAATTCCGTGTCCCTCTACCAAGTATTTCCACCATGTCCAGGACAACCACTGCACTCAAGATAGCCTCGGTAATTCCTGATGTAATAGCACTGTTATTAGGCATGGTAATTTATAAATTTTATATGCAACTCAGCCCCAAAATGTTCTCCTTGAAACTACCAGTTTAATTAAAGGTATTACCTTTCCTCATGTACATTCTTATGTACGTTACAGTTCATACCGCACATTAAACAGTCAAAATACCAGAGCTGTCATTTAATTGCCCATATCTCGACAAACTACTGTTTTAAAAAATGCGTGACCCACCAAAAATGTTGTTCTTCAGCTTGCCATTAGCTGGACTCCATGAATTGGATGTACAACATTCTCCGGCAGATACTCTGCCCCGAAACCTTGATGTTTTTTCTAATTTCAGTACCGCTACATGTCATCAGTTTGTCTTGTCTCAAGACTGATTCAAAAGGTTCAAGAACATCACAGTCCCCACAGGTAAAATCCCCACCCGTACCTATGTGATACCCAGACTAGCAAGGCTGGCCACCACCTTCTGCAGTGGCAGCCCACACTGCTTTCTCCTGTGCTGCACAACCTCACTATAGTCTCCACAGTAGTCCATGCCTCGGATTTCCAAGTGTAGGTTTCACATACAGTAAAATTCTGTAATGAATATATCAATCAGCAGCTCCGGGTATCGAGATATGCTTGCTGTACACATCCCAAGGCCTCCATCAGTTCCTGCGGGAGGAGTTCCTTTATCCTCATCTCCAGCTGAACGCTGATCACCTTGTATCCATAGACACCCTTTGCATGTTGAATCCATTGCATATCCTTTATGGAAAAACATTATCTTTTTCTTTGACCTTCTTCAGCAGTGTTGACTCACTCAGGTTAGTTGTTGGAGGGGACGCATGGTCCCCTGGACTTTCTTTTTAAACAGCAACCACACACTTTGGAAATGCTGTTAAACCATCACATGCGTTTCCCAGGAAGCAGGTGTAAGCCTCTTTCCTTTCAACGATCCTGATGGGAGCCAGACTGTGTGGAGAAACACTTTGAAAACGAGCTGCTTTATCCAAACGCTCATTAGTTCATTCCTCATCCAAACAGGTAATTCCCGAGTGGGCCGGTAGGCCACTTGTTTTCTTCTTCACACAATGTGTGTGTTTTAATGTTCTGCTGCAGGTCATTTCTGCTCTACAAATCCTAAATTAGCCAAGATTTCCAAACCTTTTCTTTCTTTCAAGTTTGGGGTATCCATGATATCAAGCTGTTAATTGTTTTTGCAGGATGGAACTGGTAAACGTTTTGTACAACGGCTTTCAGAATTCACTCAGGCACTTTCTATCTTCTGAGCCAAAAGAAATTTTTATTTCCAACTGGATTTTATGACTGCTCTGGATCATTTCCAGGTTCTCCGAAGAAGCCATTACACATTGTTTTAGATTCCTCCTGGCTTGGATTTAGAGAATCGTGGTAGCTCTGGCTTCTGTAAGGACTCAACCAACAAAGATGACCAACTCATGAGACCTCTCTCTACTGGAGAGCACATTCCTTACCTCTGACAGCAGTGCTGATGAGGGGCTAAGCGGCAGCTGGTTTGTAGGGTTTTAAGCACTCCCTATTGAGAAACATTTCTCATGAAGCGTGGTACCAATTATTTATTTGCTCTACACGACTCCCATTGGTTTCCAACCACAGTGCATGAGGAACTAGTAAATCTCCACAATTGCATGAGCACCCAGAAGGAAAACCTCCAAGACTCCCTTCCCAGCTACCCAAAAACCTTCTCCCTCCACTGCGTGACACCACCCTGAAGAGCCAGAAGTATGATATTCAGCAGTTTCACCACATGGTCCTCTGCTGTCACAGTACTACAAAGCTGATTCTTCACCAACATAAATCAATGCAGTAGCAGTAACTTTTTTTTTTTTTTTTTTTTCAGAACAGGTAGAATAGAACAGACACTAGGAAAAAAAAAAACAATTTTTATTCAGTTGAAAAGAAGTCATTTACTCAATCACATTAACTATGCTAAAAATGATTTTTTTTTTTTTCTGACTACACCAGCAGTTAAATATTTTCAGCACCAATTCAGGACACATTAGTGACATTTATCACAACAGGTCTATTTCTTAATGTAGAAGGACATACTAACTTCAGTAGCTGCTACTGGGAAAGGAGTAAGCAGAAGACTGCCCTTTCTTTCCAAATACTTTTCAGTGAGAGTAGCAACTTCTAGAAATAAATAACTGCCAAATTATCTCCCAAATCTTTAAAACGATCTTTTAAAAATAGAGTTAAAATAGATATCTTAATATGAGCTATCATAGATTTTATTTTTTATGTGCTGAATACTCCAAAATGCGAGTAGTTGAGCAAGCATCCAGTACATAACTTTTTAAAATAGTTCTTCCCTCCCCACAATATCAACCCCACTTTTTTTATCCAAGTCATGCTGGTAAGATCCCTATCTCTAGTGACTTCCCAGTAAACACCACGCTGTTTGATATCGCTAGGATATGCTACCATCCTATGAGTGAAAGAAGTCAGTGACCTGGTGAAATACCACCAACTCACACGAACAGAAAATTCATCCAGTCATTGGCTCGTTATCTCTGGACATCAAACAAATCCTAAGCTTTAATTTTTAAAAGCTTTTGTGGTCTTCCTCTTGCTGGGCCAGTTCAGAAGGTCATCACTGAAGGCAGAACTGATGAAGGCAAAGAAACCAAAAAGCAGCAGATAGTACTGTCTCTCTGTCCTTTTAAACAAATCAAGTTCGCACAAAACAAAAGGAGACAAGGTTAAAATGAAGTTTATTAGTTTTTTTGGTTTTTTTAAGCTTTTTTTTATATAAAACTGTTTGTGAAACAGCTATTTTATTCCCATGGCAGAGTGACCCCTGAAAGATGCACTAACCCCTTTCTTAAGGCCTTAATAAGAAAAAAAATTATGATTTTTTGTTGTTGTTGTTGTTCCTTAAACCCGAATGTTTTAAAATTACATAATTTACAAAAAAAACCCACCCCGAATAACCATATAGTGTAGGCTGTTACACTGACATTCCCTCTTCCTTCTTTAGGAAAAGCAAAACATAAAGTAAAAAAAAGGACTAAGTGGATTTTCCTGATCAGTTTGAAGACACATTGACTCCACCAACATTCAGACTTCCTTTCCAGTTCCCCAATCTGGCAGGTAAACCATCTCTTCCTCTCACCTGCCTTCAAAACTGAAGGCAGCTTCTTGGAATGACTTGGGGGTGCATGTTGTTGCCACAGAGGTCAGAGACTCCTTTCCCCCGCGTGGTACAGACGTGCCCACACAAACAAGGTGTACGGGATCTAGCAAGCAGCAGCTACCTCTTACTTCATGAGTCTCAGGACCTAAGAGTCTTCAGACGTTTTTCAAGCTTCCACTATTAATATATAGTGTTTCTCAAAAACGATAACCTCCCTACCCCGCACACACAAGTACTGACACCCCATCGCCTGCAACCATCCGAGCCTTCCTCCCACACCCTAAAAACAAGTCATCATTATTTTGTTTGCCTTTTAAAATCGAATTTCCTTGGACGTTGTGAGAAAGAAAGCAAGGGGAAGGGAGACAAGTCCTGTTTGGAGTACTCCCAGTTCCGCTGTTCTTTCCCACAAAATGTTAGGCTCCACGAGCCTTGCTTTGATTTTGGATTGAATATTTACTTTAGCTACAGTTTGCTTTTTTAATTTATATGGGGTTTTGTTAATTTTAATCAAAAGCATCAAAAGGGATATAGCGCACCTTTCATTTAAAACAAAGTCTTTCAAGACTAAAAAATAGATCTTTATATATATATATATTTATCCCTCCCTCTTTAATTCCCCCCACCTGTTTCCTTTTTCCCCCTCCCCTTCCCACTGTCACTATGGAGATTGTGTCCATGGAAACAGCTGGTTCAGACTCCTTGGTCAGATTCTGTGATGTCATCAGTCTTGAGTGTGATGTAAGAATTCATGAAGGAAGTGCTGGCATTGGCAGGCACGTCGAGAGGGGGCATGGCTGCACAGTGGGAGAGATTCCATTCAGTCACGAATGTCCACCGCTTTTTATCTCAACAGCCTAACCTGAAAAACAAAGTGAAACAGTAATATTGGAATGGTTCCTTCCCTTCCTCTGCCCCCACGCCCCTCCCCCTCCCCCCGGGCTTCGGAATAACCCACTTAGCAACCTACCACAGCAGTAACACCAAGAGCTCTTTAGCTTTGTGGACTAAAAATAGACGGAAGGACAACAGTGAGTAGTTCATAAAAGCAAATCCATGTGATAAAAAGTATTAGTTTAACAACCAGCAGAAACGGAAATAAACCCAGCTACGGAGGAGGTCCGGGGTGACAGGACGATCTGTGCCACGACAACGGCATGGCACTCTCACAGAACAGCTACCTCCAGCAGCCCGAAAGGAGCTCGTTTGCCTCACGTTCGCTCCTCACCTTGACTGCGAAAACTGGAAACAGAGGGGACCAAGCATGTTCAAATGTTATGACAGCTTCTGGGATGCCACGCTGCCCCTCAGGGACTGGACCCAAATATTTTCATGTAGGTCACCACGCTACCATCTGACAGTAGTTTTCAGTGAATACGTAGCAGATAGTGAAACTGGTATCAAAATTACAGGAGTCCAGCTGCAGGAACCAAATTTGGGAAACGGCTAGATTTCACAAGCTAAAGGTAAAGCTGCAATTAAACTAATTGGAGGACAGGTAATATGTCTTTCTCTTGCTTTTTGTTCAAATTGCCAGATTACGGTGCTGGTGACAGTTCATGGAAGGACTAAGCTTGTGATGTCTTTCCAGACAAATGTGGAAACATCCAAGTGCTTGGCATGCTCATTCTCCCTGTCCAGGAATTCTCTAAGGTTAGAACATGAACTTCAGGAGTTTGCTAAGTTGGTGGAGGCTCAGTTCAAAAGACAAACTGCAGACAAAGTTAACGTTTTGTTTCTCTAAGCTACAGTTCTCATTCTTAATCTGCACAGCTGAGAAAGCAAAGCTTGAAATAGTATCCTCCTTTCTTCCCTCTCCCATAACACAAGTGAGCCCAGAAGCAATTTGTTTATTTAGTAAGGTTACTTACTTTGATATAACTTAGATAAATCCCTCCCCACCAGCTAGTGAGCTTGGGAAAAGGAAAAAAGCTCGCAACATAAGCAACGCATATGGAAAACAGTTAACGGTATTAGAGGTATGCCTGGGAACGAAGTAACACCCAGGTTCATTCATAGCTGGCAATTAAACTCCAGGAACCCTAACTAAGTGTGATACAGAAGTCAATGCTGTTCTGATTATCAGCACACCAATTAGATTACGTCCCACAAGCCTACCTCTTGGCTGCAAATATCCCCTCATACAGGGGTGCCACGCTAAGAGCGAAGAAAGAGTCAGGCGAGTACGTATGAAAAACAGACGGGTAAGCCATGGAGCTACAGCTAAAGGGGAAAGGAGGGAGGTTCCTAGAGAGTTCAGGCAGCTGACCTCTGTGGTATTCATTACTGTGCAACTGTGAGCCCTCGCTGAAGGAGTGTCAAGGCCGCGTTGCTGTCTCTGGCTCCTGTACAACTGCAGCTTGCCCATGCCTGGAATCGGTCCAGAGCATTAGGCACCGGCTCAGGGAGGAAACAAGCTCACCGCACACAGAGAGAGTCCTTCCCCGCTCCTGGACAGGATCCAGAGCACCAGACTCACTCCCACAGTCACTCTCCAGATCTGGATTTGATCCAAATGTTCTAGAGGCAACTGGCTCAGGGAGAGAGAAGCAACAGAGACAGAATACACTGACTTGCCTGGATGTTATCCAACACGCAGGATTTTTCTTAACTTGCTGGGCCTAGGAGTGAACCAGGACTAAAACAGCCCAATAATCTTAACAGCTGAGTGCGCATTCTGTCTTACACTAAGGCCAGCAGAAGGGCAGCTCCTATACTACCAGCACTGCTACAGAATTCCTCTAAGCTTCTTTAATTACCACAGTACCGCAGCATTTTTCTTTTTCTTATTTTTTTTTTTTTTAAAATAATTGGCTCTTTTAGATTTGCATGGTTTTTATTTGGGGATTCAAGGTCAGGTTGGAGAACTTCATCTTTAAGACATTCCCAGAAACAAAAAGGGGAGGCTAAATAGGACCTTCAGATAAGAACTACTTGATGCAAAAGTAGATTTGGAAAGACATGATGCCTTAGAGAGATGCCTAGTGCACACAGTGAACATGGTGCAGAGATTCCACAGCTTGCAAGGTCTTAAGCCAATACAATCCTACGATATATAAAAAAAAGAGTTAGCACTGGACAATAATGCAGAAAACAAAGCTGTGTAAAGGTCTCTGGGACATAGTAATGTTCACCAGCGCCTTAAAGAAATGACCCAAAAAAATCACCACTGAGAAGACTTCTCTAGTGTTAAACAGTTGTAACAGATGCCCTGTCTGTGACACTATCATCCTGTTTTGACATTATGAATTATATTGCCTTTTGCACTTTAAGGAAAAGAGAAAAGCTTAAAAGAATCCCAATGACCTTTACCACGGAAGGAAAAAGTTACTCAAATAATGAACTTTAAATACTGTTTGCATGGTAACTGTTTTAACAACACTCCAAAGCCAAGAAAGAATAATGTTAAAAAATGGGAAAAAAAAAAAAAATAAATCACAGAACACAGCACAGCTAAATCAAGTCAGCAGTCAGTTTACGAAGTATTTATATGAAACACTGCCTGTCTTCTGCTACTGCACTAAAAACCAGAATTCTTCGATTAATATCCTTCACAGAAAACACCATTAAAAGCACTTCACAATTACTTAACTCGAGAAACAGGTAAGGTTTTAAGGTAAGGGAGGTGCCTGGGAAGCAAGGGAACAACGGTGAGGGGATTGTTACAATCAGCTCAGAGAACAGACATGAAAGAGCAATTTCACCTGTGTGATTGCAAGAAAGAAAAGCAACTAGCTTGAGTAAGAAATGCAACTGAGCAGCAAAATAAAGGCAAGAGACCTTCTTGGGCTGCAGTTTATGGGAAAGGGTGCCAATAAGTATTAATTTGAAACCAAATGCGTATTAATTTAAATGTCCCTGTTGCCATCGAATGGCATTGCACTTGGAAATGAAACAAGAAATCCCAACCTCATCGCATTCCCTGGGTGCTAACTCCCACCTCTGTGCTGCTCCCTCCTCGTGCCACGATATCTGCCCAGCCACACAGTGAACCAGATTAGGAAAATTACTTAACTTGGATGCTAACAGGACAAAAATGTAGTTTCAGACAAATTGAATTCCCCACCAAGTTCACACATGGCTGTATGAACACTGGGAGGAGGCAGGAAGAGCAGCGGGGGAGTTGGGGCGCGAGAGCCGCTTTCTGCAGCACTGCTCACTTATGCTGACTTACGGCAACTACAGCCCACCCTGGATTCAGAGCAAGGGGAGGTAAGGGGCCAGAGTAAACATTACAAACTTATGAAATTGTGGCCACTTGTGGATATAGTTCCACTTTCTATCACCCATGTCTGTTTGCAAAATAGAGGAAAATGCTAGTCTGAAAGGAATGTAATGGGCTCCTGCTATGATTAATTTACTTATCCCTGTATTTACATTTCCAGAAAAAAGGGGAATCAAGATTACAATAATCTTGAACTCATCAGTATTAGTAATTCTTCCTTACATACAAAATTCAAATAAATTCATCGTAGTCTCTTATTTATACAGAAGCTTGTATTACTACTCTGAGTCTTATGGAAAAAAACCTTTCAGATCCTTATGAACACGATGGTGGCAATATGAAAGGAGACTGCTGCTACTGGTTTAGCTGGGAGAGTAATCAGGCAGTTGTAACAGCTAACAAGCTTTGCCTCTCACCGCTAAACAGAAGGAACTGCTGCAGAAATAAAAAAAAAAAAGTGCAGTCACTAGCCTGAACTGAATGGTAGCAGGGAAAAATAAAAAAAGAAACAGTTATTACAAATTTTCTGAATGTACACCAGAGCACCTTGATTTCTCACAGAAATGGGGAAGGCACCAGAGGTAAGGAGCCACAGAAGGCGGCTGGTGGAAACTGGTAACTCTCCCCAACTCACCTGTGCTTGCTTTTATTTCCATTCCCAGGAGTACACTTCCCCCCTCACCCCCGCTCCGACTGCTCTGTGCTGAGGCTGCCTTTCACCATCTTGTTCTGCAAGGAGGGAAGAGAGCAAGGAAGGAGGGGCTGACGAACCAGCAAGCCAAGAAGAGGAAAAAGAAAATGAGGGAGAAAAGGAAGACAGGGGGAGGGAAAGTGAACATACAGAAAACGAGAGAGAGAAAAAGGAGTCAGTATTGGAACCAGACATAGATTTTTTCAGACAGAGTTTTCCCTATGACAAAAGCAGGCAATTCCACAAAAGTAAAGAGTTTGGGATATGAAAGCCTAGTTAATTTTAAGAAACACAGACTTGAACACGAAAAGGTAGAACAAGCTGAGAAACATCGCTTGGAATTGCCCCACAGATGGCTTAAGACAATCCAAGACTGCAGTGCCACCCAAAAGGTGAGGTATCCCATCCCCTTTATATCCTCCTCCGTGCCTCGGCATCCTCATCAGTTCTGTTGCAACAGCACTTGCTGTGATGCAGACACACAGCTAGTTGGATTTGCGAGAGGAAGCTAACCCTTCAAAAGATGATTAGTTTTCAGACAGCGTTTTCCCTGTGATAAAAGCTGCTATTTTGCAAAAGTAGCACATTCAGGACATGGATGGTTGAAGCATCAATGCTGACAGAAGGAAATGGGAAAGCTCACTTGGGAGCACAGGGAAAGGCAGGACCAGTCCCTCTGCACTTCGCTTGCTTATGCCTGAAGTGTCAAGCGCAGTTAATGAGGCAAGAAGCACCTTTGCTCTCCAGGAGCCACTTATTATGATGAGGTGTATTTACTGATGTGAGGCAGGGGCTGAAAAAGGATAAGAGGCACTATACTGGGGGACCTATGCAGTGCTAGCACATTTATAAAGTTAGTTCTTCCACCCATTAACTACAGAACAGAAGAATGAGGTATTAGACAGCTACTAATTAGCTACTAATGTTAAACCAGTGTTACGAAAAAGCATAGTTTTAAATGGTGTAATTGAAAGTCTTTCTTCCTCTCAATTGCTCGTGTTCATATAATGCAAAAAATTGATGCACTTTACTCTCCAGTCATTCTGGAGCAATGGTTTTCAACCTTCCTGTTCCTGCCTTGCAGCTGGCTGGAACTCTCCTTTCCAGCCACTACAATGGAAGGAACAGGGTGATCCTATATTCTGCCCTGCAGAAGGATTTGGAACAAACCAGTAATGATCATTGAACAACAGGGCGAGGGCAGAGTCACAGCCAAACAAATAAAACTCTGCTTGACTTCAAATGAACAATTCACGTCTTTACAAAGCAAAAGCCAAACTTCAGTGTCAAATAACGGCTGCTGGTGTTGAATGTCCATTTTCGACGCAACACAGAAAGTGATCTGCAGTGGGATAGTTTTGAATAAGATTCAAAACTTCATTGCCGCATGAAGTACCTTTATCAACTTAATTGGCGGTTTTCCTCCTCCCACCCCCCAAGATTACTTTAGAAACCAATGTGCCTGCTCAGTATCTTCTCCAGGAGGCTGGATTCTGTAAAATGGTTGTTTCCTTTCACAGTTTGAGCACCATCACTGCAAGTACTCATACACAGCAGCAGTGACCCAAGCCAGATATGAAAAGGTTTGACACAATGTTTCCTGTAATACTTCAGGCAGTGGGCAGCAAAAAATAAACATGCTTCAAAGATGTAACCTTCCTATTCTCTTTAGTCAACTATCCAAAGTTGGGCAGAGGGTGGCACTTAGGTAGTTGCATTCCACAGTAAGGGGAGCTCATCCTTCCCATTTTTGTTTGGCAACGTTTGCAGGTTTATGTGGCATTAACACATCAATTTGAGCTTGCTGTACATTTTCAACACTATTCCACAATTGTGCAGAATAATTTATTTTCTTTTATGATGAAAAGTAGGCCAGTTCTGGATAACAGCCTGAATGCCCCCAAAATCTTCCAGCGCATTTTAAATACATGTGTATAAATACATCATATTGTGGTAGAACACCCAGAAAGGAACATGAGACTAATTCTTCTATGTTTACAAAAGACAGATTAAAGATAATCTGTGAAGACAAAAGACCACCAGATGTCAGTCTAATTCTAGGCAGAGAAGAGATATGCAGACAAGGACTAAATGGAGACTAATCTCTGCTAGAAAGCAACACAATTCTTCCCTATTAACATTTACTTTCCAGCATATGCCACCCACACCCTTGCACAATTCCTGGTGTATCCAACTGGCCACAAGAATAGCCATTTTTCTGGATACTTTTGAGCATTTAAAACCGGTGGACTGGTATCCACAGCCTCCCAGAGATGTATCAAAACCGGTGGACTGGTATCCACAGCCTTCCAGAGATGGCTCCCTTATGGGCTGGGAGGGGTATTCCCAGCACTGTATCATATCGCTTATATGTACAAAAGAGTATGTATTTTCTGCCTTGTCTCCGCTTTCCATACGGACCGAGCAACAGCAGCCCAGCTCTTAGCACCACTGTGTTTGCAGGCTCCAGGGACACTCCGTTAAGGATTCCCGAACCCTAGGCAGAAGCAGCATACTGAATCCACACCCAAAACCTGAAAATGATCATGGGTCTTCTGAAGAGTCAAAGATCTACAGAACAACTAAACAGACATAATTATTGAAGGCTGAGTGGCAGGAATCAGTGTAGTTACTATCACTAGTTTATAACTACACTGGTTCATGAGGTAGTCTAAATGTTTCCAAAAACTGGTTGAAACTTTTCCAGGAGCCATTTTAATTCCTCCTTGCATCCTCAGTAAATCCAAGGAGAAAAACCACTGACAGTTCCAAGGTAGCACTCAAGCAGAGACAGTGAGCGGTGTACTGATTCTATCACCGAAGACAGGAAATGAAGCTGGGCTTTCTAAAGAGTCATCACGGATCTAAAGAACACCTGAACAGATAGGGCAAAAACTTAATTTATCTGCTTAAACTCTCTGTATTCTTCTCAAGTTGTTGTTTGCCCCCAGAATATATCACAAGCACACCTCACAGAAGAATTAATCTAAAAGCATCTCTGACTACAGATGTTATCCAGGTATAAAATTACTAATCCAAATTTAGATACCAGAAGAGGGCAGCAAAAAACAGGTCTAATCCAAGAGAGGATTCTTACCTTGTGCTTGGGGCACCTCACTGAGAAATTCTCTTCGTTTAGTAAACAATCTAGAGAAGGAAAAGACAGCGATTTATTACTTTTTTTTTTTTTACCAAAACCCACCTTGAATAATACATCACATGTGTTAATCTTGCCTCGCAAGTATATTTTCCATTCAAAGATCTCTTATAGGAACACTATCTTATTAGCAGGTTCATCCCTTCCACCCCCAAAGTTTTAGCAAATAAAATTACTGAACACCCCAAGTGACAAGGTCACCTGGATTACCAAGCCAAGTCCAAGCATCCCCAGTCTCCCCAATACTCTCTATAGAGTAAGAATCGCAAAAGCAAGTCCACAAATCCTGCGTCCCAACCCCCTTCAGCTATTCCAGCCTTCCTTGCTACAGCACAAGGAAGACAAATGCATTCATCCAATCTGAACAGATGATCCCTGCTTCATACTTCATACGAAAATTGATGCCTTTCATCCTTACCCCAAAGCCCTGCCAACATCAGGGGGAGAAGGGGTGTGTGTCTCTAGGTATGGGTGTATATGACAGTTTATTTGCAATCCCAAATCCTGGTGATCAGTTTACACTTTGACACTACGGTAGTCAGGTCACTCATGCTGCTCTTGGATCTGCTTCCATGACTCGTATATGTGAAGCTTCTATGATCTAAGAAATAGTTTAATTAATGATTTAAACCCATTACGGAAAGTGGGGCACCTATGTAGAAGTGCTTATTTAGGAACAAATTAAGCAATACTGTCGTTTGAAGAGCATTTCTGTAGTGGCACTGCCAGTGTAAGTGTTGCTTCCCCTCTCACCCTCCCTCCCAGACGACGCCTCTAAAGGATGCCAAGTCAGCAGCTCAAGGAACTTCAGTGCTATGCCCACACCAGGAGCACCACCAGCCAGCTCTGTGTCTTCCAGATACCCTGTATTTCACCCTCACAGCCAAGTGAAAAAGCAGCACTCTCCTGGGAGAATTCAGCTGCCTTCCCTGGGCACCCTGAACTGCAGGGCTACCTCTCAACCTGCCCAAATTTCTGACTTTGTTCTTTCCAATTGCCTCATGCACCAAAGGCATGCTGATTGAGCACCTTCAGCACCACCACCACCCTCAATGTGACTGACACCATAGGAATTTAGCAAGGTGCTTATGACCTCCTGTCTGCTCCAACCTACCCAAATAGCTAGCAAGTAAAGAAGCACAATGGTAAATAAAATGTGCTAATTTAAAATGCTCTTAAGTATGTAGCATAACCAGCGCTACCTGCTGTTTCAATCTGCTGGAAGAGTTTAGCAGACAGCAGGAGACTGCAACTAAAGCTTGAGGGAAAAGCTTTCTAGACACCCAAGCTTTGGCAGAGCATCGCCCTGCTATGAAACGCTTATGTTTCAACATGAATGCCTCCGGCCTGAATCAAAGGGAAACAGCACGCAATAGGCTAAGTTACTTGAGAGATTTTAGCAAAGGGGAGTAAAACCCTTAATCCTGCCACAGATAACAATTTCAAATGCGGTATTAGCAAATAACAGGAAATAAATAAAATGTTGTCTCATTATAAGGGCAGGAATTGTACATTTAGACTACAGCATGAATTAGCACTGCATAATACAGCAATCATCAAAAATATACAGAGCAATCATCAAAAACATACACAGTATGTTAGAACAGGATGGAGTTTTCTTCCTTCTTGGAAACCCAGCATCGGTAATGAATGCACTTCTCTAGCTAGTACATCAGAAACGAAGATTGTACAAGGATCAGGAAGAACTGTCAGAAACCTTGTACCTCATGCCTGATCTGCACACGGAGCTCAATTTCTTACTAGGGGTGGCATTTTTGTTGCAAATACTAATAGCAGATCAAATTAACAGCATTTTTTTTTGTTTCTCTTAAGGGACAACTATGAAAAATTTCATCAGCTTGCTGTAGAAAATCAGCTGAATACCAATAAGGCAAAACTTGTTCATCATTACAAAGCTGGCCTGGATTTCAGTTAGCAGTTCCAAGTATTTTATATCACAGATTACAATTCATCATGAAGTCACCAGACACATAACTACGATCAGTTCATCATGGCAGAAAGGGAAAAAGAACCGAGCCTCGTCCTTGTTTGTGCAGATTTCTCTCCATAAAGGAGTCAGGGAAAACCTAAAACATTTTTAACAGAAGCAATTATTCTTCTGTAAGCTTCACACTTTGTCTCACCCTCTGTGTTCTGCTTGTTACTCATCTTTAACGATACTTGTGAAGACACGGGACTTCTGTTCTCTCAAAATTAGTTTTATTTTGCTGCTAGTCCTTTCCTAATTTACAGTCAAAAATCTTTTGTATGGAAACTGCCTACGACATGTTGAGGGGGAAAGTGTGCTGCAACAATCAGGATCTGACTCCAGGTGGGGAGGAACAAGCAGAGGGAAAGGATACAAAATTTCAGAAAACAAAGATCCTGTTTCCATGGAGACGTCCCTAGGACTAAGTTATCTTCAGACATCAGAGGCTCTTCATAAATTTGGACAGACGAAAGCCAAACACAGACAATGTTAACCACAGTCATTTCCATATAAAAATTACTTAAGTGGCACTACTGATCTTGATTTTTATGCAAATAGCTATGAGGAATTCAGCTCTCTTGCATCCTATATTGCCAGGGATTACTTTGTATGAAAAGAGATTAAAAGGAAGGCTGAATTAGGCTATATAAAAGCATCCATATGTACGAACTGGCAGCTTATGAAGCCACATGCCTTGCATAGCAGCCAATTAGCAACAGCGGTGCAAAACCTGGCTCCTCACCAGGGTGGGATTGGAAGCCGACCATCGACACAGAAGCCAGAGCCCTGGTCGCACCACAGGGCCAGCCTTCAGTGCTCCAAGTAACTGAAGTCATTTTGAGATATTTCACCCTCCAGACCTTAGCAAAAAATGTACTGCCTTTCAAATGAGGCAGTCACTGACAGCGTACTACCTTCTAGTCCACACCAACACAAAGGTAAAACATGTTCACAGTGCAACTGCCCACGAGTATGGCATGCATACTTCATCTCAGCTAAGGCATGGTCACTCCAGGGATGCTACAGAACTCAAACACCAAGTGCTTATGATTCACATACCCTAAAAAACACTCCAGCAAGTATTTTCTGATTTATTTTTTTTTTAAGATACAATACCAATCATATATATTCCAAAAGCCTCAGAGCCCTTATAAACATCAGCACAAACTTCTGAGGATTCAGAACGGACCTGTCCCAGATCCTCAATAAAACAAAGTGGCACAATCCTTCAAAGCAGGATGGTCATCTTCAACTACCACAGAGCTCGAGGAACTTGAGAAATATCCACATCCAATTCACTACAGGCAAGACAGCAGCACTGCATAACCAATAAAAAGGGTTTACAGGCAAACAGCAAGCTGAGGAAAGAGAAAAGAGTGCTTATTTGCTTCAAAGCAGCCTACATGTTCTGCTTGGGCATGAATGAAAATCAAGTCCCATTCCATGTAGCTTGCTTATTTCTTTTATACAGATTTATTGGAAGAGTAGCTATAGATTAAGACAGCTTGATTACACCCATAGATAAAAGCAACTGCAAACAAGGTCTATTACTGTGATACCGTCAGGTTGAAATTTTGAATGCTGAGATTCTACTTCAAGCTGGGATCTTTTATTTGTTTTGGTTGAAAACTTCAGCTAAAGCAGCCTAACAATTTCCTTAAAACTCTTTCTTGGAAAAATGTTATTCTGCCCGTGTTAAACATCCCAGCAAATTTTCTCTGAAAAGCTCCACTAGCACCTGAATTTTAGCCTTGCCAGCTTACCACAAAATCAGCAAATATGACTCTTTGAAAGGAGGAATGGGGATTTTAATCCGCACATCCTCAGGAGAGCCTTCTTCGATTTTAGTTGCTAGGTCCTTTGAAATTTCCACCAAAAATACTTTTGTTTGCGGGTGAACAGGTCTTTCCTATAAACAAACCTCTGGCCTCAGATTTAAGCACCAGACCCAAAAGCACTGAAGCTGTCAGAGGACATTTCTAAGACTTGGGCAACCTGCAGAAAGAAGGTGACCATTTTGAGACTACTCCTAGTTGAAGTTAGGAGCAGGGAATTAAGGATGAGTGCCAGCAGAAGGAGGCCAAGACTAAATCAGGATTGATTCAGCCAGAAGGTTGGAGACTAAGAACTAGTAGAATAAGGCATAGAAAGATGAAGATCAAGGGCAATAAACATGAACAAACGGAAATGAGCAGGTTTAAGTGTGACAAGGAGATAAACTAGGAGAACCAAACAGGAGTAAGAAGCCTAAAGATGAGAAATAGAGCTAGGAGCAAGAAAGAAGAGGAGGAGGAGATACAAGAGGAGAGAGGAAGAAGCCAGAATGTCAGCTAGAAAACTAGGCAAAGGAAAAGCTGGAAAGGAGTAGGGAGAACTGGTTCTTACAAAGAGACTGGGGTAAAAAAATTGAGAAAGGGAAACTGGGACCAACTAGATAAAGAGCCTGTGGCTGGTATGAAGAGCCGGAGTAGACAACATATCAGACACGTACAGATTGAAGAGGAAAAACCAAAGGAAAATGTATAAAACAAAGAAAAGTCTTTGTTCTCACTAAATTGTACTCTTCCTGGAGTGAAACCAGAGATTCACCAGTTATACCACTACTCTGCTATTATTTAAGTATGTTTGTGAAACTCACAAAGCATCCCATCTCCATGCAGCTCTAGCCCACTAAGTGGCTTGCAATTTATTAATGCCATATTACTCAAAGGAGGGAAATTAGCTTGGAATGGTGCACTCTGACAGATGGCCACATGACAACATGATGTCTTATAAAAAAATTAAAATAAAATGAAGTAAGCATAGCCTTGCAACTTGAACACAAAAAGCTACTCTAAAAAAACCCTCAAAGGTCACAAAGTCAAGACAAATGCTAGGAAAAAACAAATTTAATGCAGCCCACACTTCTACATGTTATATGGTAGACTTATTATATTACATTTAATATGGACTAAATAGTATTATGATATACTAGTTTTTGTACAGGACACTGCCTCTTCCATGCATAATACAGAACTGCTCTTGGGAATCAGTCATGATTGTTCAGTAAATTTGTCATCTGGAAGATCCTACCGCATTTGCTGAAGTGGAGTAGAGTTAATGAGGAAGGTATATCTGAAGAAAAAAGGCAATATCTTAATTTTGGTACCTGTGTTTAGAACATAGAAAATGCTACATACTGTACCTAGTAACACAAGAATTCAAATTAAGCACCCCAAACTATTTTGAACATTCACTGTAATTTATTTTGTTTCTTCACGGTATTGAAAAGGGCAGTCACAAACCAGAAACAAATTACTAAACACAGTATGAACACAAATCTGATGAGTCTGTCCCTCAAATGTACTGTAAATAAAAAGTTTGTTGATGTTCATGAAACTCTTAGGCATGAACATCACAGAAAATTCCACAGTTCCACTTTCAGAATGGAGATGGGATCATATGCAGTAAATAAAATACAGAATCAGTGAGGACAACATATGCTCACGAATGAGGACCCCTTCAGCCTACAGGCTGAGGTAGGGCCTTATGGAAAAAGATGTCAGTCATTAATAAGGCAATCACTATCTTATAAGATACATTCATAAGAAACCAAAATTAAACTTCCATGACACCCTTATTTCTGTTTTTTGGTTTGTTTTTTTGGGTTGGGTTTTTTTTTTTTTTGAGTGTGCAGTTTTTCCAACCTGAATAATATTTCTTTAGCACCTTATTTCATGTAAAATCAAGGATTCTCCATCTATACTGTGGTACTAATAGTATTCCACTACAATATTAATTTCATAAAAACCATTTCTATTAGAATAAAATGCAGTGCTCCAATAAGGTGGGATTTCACAGTGAGAGGTGCAATGCAGTGATTCAGAAATGAGCATACCTACTTCAAATACTCTAACATTTGAAAAACAGCACAGAATACTTGGTGAAACAAGTGGGCTGCTGTGGAAATGGGATAATAAACAGTAAGCTTGCAATTATTTGCCAGTCAAGAGTTGTAATCTTGAATCCTTACCTGCTTGTTATCAGACTAAGTTTTGTATGATAGAAGTGAGTTACAGAGGACTGAAATAGTGGGACATTATTCATTCTGAGCTGGGATTTTTTACCCAAGAATAAAGTTTATTTCCATGAAAACCTTCACTATTGTACACAGAATGCCAACTCACAACCACAGGCTTACAGCTGGAGATAATATAATCCAAACCACCAGCTTGTCCAATGATGAAAATGAAACCTACTCAAGAGACTGGCTGAAATACTTCTAAGGAAGGAGAAGGAAGGTTGTGCTGCAAGTGGCATTCATGATTCTATAAATAATTTGCACTTGAAATCATTATTATGACTATCCATAGGAGTGTAACCCTGAAAGAGGAAACACCTTTCTGGTCACTTGCACCCTTTTAAAA